CCCCAAAACCCCAAAACCCCAAAACCCCAAAACCCCCAAAACCCCAAAACCCCAAAACCCCGGAGGGAATGTTTAGTGTTGAGATTTAGGAATCAATGCTTTCTCTGAAATCATTAAAGTCTTTCTCCCATTCACATTCTTTTATGATTTCTTGAACTATAGAATCTCAATTTCCTTTATAATACAAGCTACTGGCACTGGTCCTAGGAATGTGATCTAATGGCTCATTGTTGATAACTACCAATTGAGTTATAGTAGGGTACAATATTGGCAAACCATTGAATGGAGCAACTTGTAGTGAAGTTCCAATGATCAGTCCACAGTCTGACTTTTCAGACAATAAAGAAGATTTCTCATGGAACTCATCAGGAAGCATCTCCCCAAAGAAAACTATTCTTGGCTTGATTGGTACATCAGGACAAGTGTCACAATACATTATTTGATCATTCATTGCTTTCCGTTTAAGCTCTTCAATATCATATTCTTTGTCTCAGCTAGGGCAATGAGCTCTGGTGACATCACCATGAGCAGTTACAAGTTTCTCTCTTGAGATGCCTGCTCTGAGCTCAAGACCATCAATATTTTGGGTAAAGTTTACACAAAGAATTCCTTTTGCTTCGAGGAATCCAATAAAGTAATGAGATAATGTAGGATGAAACATATCAAAGTTGATCTTCTTGAGATAGCCGTAAAATAATTGAGGATTTCTGTAGAAAATAGAAAGCTGGAAAATGTCAGTGGGCGATTTCATCCCATACTCTTTCTCTAAGATACTGTAAAGTCCTGTGTCTGGAGATCTGTAGTCTGGAATTCCAGCATCCGTGCTAAGACCAGCTCCAGTAAGTACAGAAATTTGTTTGTAATATCCTTGCTTAAGATTATGAATAAATTCTCTCCCTTCCGATCACCCATTCACCACTGAGAAAGATCTTCAAGCCTTACATCTAGTAAACTTCCACATTTAAAATTATTCTTCCAACAAGATATTTTCCCAATGGGGTTTTGGGGTTTTGGGGTTTTGGGGTTTTGGGGTTTTGGGGTTTTGGG